TGCGGCTCCGAGTGTGTCAAAACAGCAATGATGGCAAGGCACTGTGGCCACTCATACCCTCCTCTGCCTACTGTGGGCGCAGCCTCGGTTGCCCTTTACTGTCCGCTCGGGGCCGATGCCAGGCAAGACGTGGACTGAGCGGCCCACAAGGTGGAACCTATGCTTAGGGCCACAGATGATGTTCGGAGCGTGGAGTCTCCTGCCAACCGCTTGCCCTTGGAGTTCACCGTCCCTGTGAGATCCATGCCGCCGCTGGGTGGCAGGAGAAAGCTGCACAATGCCTGGCAAGAAAGGCGGGTCCCACCGTCAGTCACTACACACAGCAGAAGAAATACCAGCGTTCTAGAGTGGGCTCCCAGCCAGCCGAGGTGGGAAGACACCAGGGCCAGAAAAAAGGTCCAGATCATTAGTGCACAGAAGAGCTATGAATCGGTAAATCTGGGGCAAGATCTTCCTAAGCCACTTGAACTGATTGGCTACCTAGACTGGCCAGATGAACTTAACTCTCCGGGACTTGTGTTTAATATGTACAGCCACGGTACAGTCAGAACATCTGGAGACCCACCCAAACCTGCACATCAAACAGGGGAAGGCAGAGGGAACAGATCTAACTGGAGGCAGTCTGGGAGGGTGGAGAGACCCTTGGGCGATGACCGTGAGCTACGTGTGTGTGAACCCTGCTGTGTAGGCATTGCTTTTCACCCTTGAAACCTCTTTGCCTTGAGAGAGTAGCTGCCTCGCTGCCTCAACTTTGGCTTACGACCCACCGAGAGGAATGGAGACAGTGCCAAGGCTGAAAGGGCCCAGAGTCATGCAATTTTAAGAAAGGCTACTCTTGTTCCTCAGTGACAAGAAATATTACAATTTTCTTGACAAAACAATGGTTCTCCTCTGCCTATGTTGAGCAGTGTCAGGAAAGCAGCCCTGTCACCAGCACAGAAATCCTTGCTGTTGAGAGAGAAACGGCTCCGCTGAAATGCAGCTAGTTATGGGGGCAACAAGGAGCTCTCGTGGCTAAGTGGGGTAAGTCCTGGGCTGCGACCCAAAAGGTTGGTGGTTTGAACCCCCCAGCCACGTGGGGTGCATCTGTGTGAAAATCTACAGCCTCAGAAACCCTGCGGAGCACAGCTGCCCTGTCCTGTGGGGTCATTGTGAGTCGTAAGTGAGTGCATCAGAGTGGGCTTGTTTGTTTGCGTTTGGTTACATCATAATAAAGGAGGCAATGGAAGTTTAGATGCAAGTCAATGGAAAATACGGGATAATTTGGAAATTCTCTCTTTGAGTCATTGCTAAAGAGCCTACATCAAGTCTGTCAGCATGTGATGGTAATTTTCACTTTGTTCATCAATATCTAATCACAAAGGCACAATGACTCAGTGATGTCTACCCTAATCAACATGTTCTCTGACAGTTTTACGGAAAGCTGAAGCTGGACACACACGCGCGCACACACACACACAATTGCATCAGATGATTATTGATTACAAAATGTCAACTGATAAATTTTACATTTCATACGATGTGGCTGTAATCAACAATGGGAAACTGGTCTATGTGAAATGTCATGGTCCATGTTATTTCAGAAATGTTTGCAGGAAAAGCCCTTCTAAATGTCTAGGGACCCATGTAAGAAATAGTTTTACCCCTAGACGGAGCCGTTGCAGAAACAGGAGATCCCTCCGATCTTAGTGTGCAGGAGAACAGACAACAGTATTTTAGTATCTTCAGACATGCCGGGGAAGGCCTTTAAAATCCAGAAGAGCTTCTGAGAGCAGATAAAATACATGCTGGCAGCCTCAGCAGCTTTCTTTGGTCCTTATTCTAAACATATGGGTCACTTTGCCAATTCAGCATTTGACAGATGTACAACTTATCGACAGCAATTATAATAGTCAGCTGGGCAGCCCTACCCTTAATCTGTGTGATTTTTCCATCCCTGCTATCCTCTCTCCTCCCCTCGCTCTTGCACTTGAGTCTCTCTACTGGAGTCTCTCTACGCTTGCCTTTTCATATAAATGAGGTCGTACGATATTTGCCCCTTTGTGATGGGCTTATTTTGCTCTGCACAATCCCTCCAAGCTCCACTCATCTTGTAGCATGCATCAACACCTCACTTCTCCTGGGGTTTGGGTCCTTGGTTTGGAGACTGAGGACCATGGTTTCGTGGGGCAGCCACGTGCTTCTGCTCTATCTCCGCATTCCTTGAGTAGTACCTGAGGTCTTAAAGGCACACAAACAGCCTTCTCAGGTACAAAAACTGGTCTCCAGTTGCCTGCAGCAAGAGGAAGTAGGAGAATCAGAAGTGGGAGGATGTAGCAGTGGCTGTTCACCTGCTCTGCCTTCAGACCCAAACTGGATGCTATTCAGCTATTATTACTGAACGTTTGGATCAAAGATTCCATAAAAGAACCCTGATCAGAGGAGTGGAGGAATGCAGAACAGAAATCCCAATTCTCAGGGACCCTAGACTTCCTGGAGCCACGGAGGTTGGATAGGACCCTGAAATTATTGTCCTGAGATAATCTTTAAATCTTAAACCAGAAAATGTCCCCTGGAAGTAGCTCAAAGTAAACAACAGTTTGCTAGAAACAATGTCTGCCCTGAGATGCTCTCCAGAGAACGATCTACAGATGATGGACTTGCTAACAGAAACCCACAAGGCCGCCGGGACTTCAGGGGCAGCGGGTCTATAGTCACCAGGGAGGAGGAACTCCCAAAAGCAGTCTTGCTCACCTTCAGGACTGTCATTGATGGCACTAAACTCTACCTGCAGAAACTGTTTGCACTGGCAGATGCTTTGCTGTCTACAGTTTCAACAACCAACACAACAAAAATAAATAAAATTTAGTGGGGGAACATCTGCTAGCTAGGAAAGATGGCCCCAGGTAGGAAGAGCAGACAAACCCAAGGCAGGCACCTGGGCTCTTGGGCACTATTGTTTAGAATAAAACGTGTACAATGTTGAAATCGTCTAGAGAAGTTGAAAGGGAGGAAAACGCACCATTATAGTGAGGTCAACCTGCAGGTCATGCCTTCTCCACCGTTTTGAGTCCTAGGTGCAAATGCATATGAAAGTACATGGAGAGACACCAAGAAACTTACGTACACCAGTCGGGCACATTCACCATACAACTTTCTCAGCTGTGCACACAAAGCCCGCTCACTTCTACAGAACACAAGAAAGCCCTTTGCCCTTCGACTTCAACAGAATCTTAAAACCCAGCTCCCGTTTCAGTTCTTAAACTCACGCTGATGTTCCGGACTCATGGCTTCCTCCTCCTCCCCAAGCCTCTGGCTATTCCCTCAGCACCTCAGAGGGCACGTGTGGAGCACGTACCTTTGCCAGGGCTTTGTGCCATACCACGTGTAGAGAGGTTGATGAAGACATTCCTGAACAAGCGTCTTATTTAGGACCAAAATGTTCATTTTTGGTTATAAAGGTTTGTAATACCGATTTCACTGCGCCCTGCAGATTTGGGCTCTCTACCTACGGACAATGGTGCATGGACAGCAGCAGCCAGTGAAAAGGAGAAGGACAGGGGTTCTGTCACGAGGACTGGTTTCCATGTGCAGGTGAGCTTCCCCAGCAGCTCTCGGTTGTTATAGTGGGGCGTACGGGGGAGGGGTAAGAGCTTGCTCAGATGGGTAAGTCCCCCTCTGAGGATAAAGAGGTGACAGCAGTAAAGACAGACTTCCCCTCCCTTTTCTTACAGGTTTCACTTACAACCCCAGAATCGAGCCTTACCTCTTTCCTCAATACCCTTCCAATCTTTCTACCAAATGAATAAGCCATGCCACCAGATCCTAATTCCCCAAAGTGCTTGGATCTCTATCATAAAACTGGGAACTGCTGGAAAACAGAGACAGATGGGCTAAATGCTTAAACCTCTAATGAAAATTAAGACTTTCTTCTTCTTTTGAGAACGGTTTCTGTTTATTCTGCTGGAAGCCCACCTCTCCAGTGACACTAAGCAAGTCCATGAATCTCCATCCCCACGCCTCCACGCGGTGCCCACAAAGACACTCATCAATACGGTGCCCACAATCAGTTGAAACAAAAATGGGAGCTAGAGGCTCCCTGGGCACTTGGTGGTGACTTGAAAACCAAGCCAGGAAGAGTCTTCCAGCATGTATCTGAATATTTGGGAAGTCTAAAATATGTTAATGACAGTATTCCACCAATGAGTGTTAAAAGACGGAGAGCCATCCAAGTGGTTGATATAGAACAGAGGTTCCCAAATTTATTAGGCCAATTGCCCCCTTTTCAGGGGGAAATTATATATATATATTAGTATCCCCTGGCAATGAAAACCTTGTGTATTTTAGCCCATTACCCAGAGAAAAATGTAAATCTCTACTTTTGCAACTCCCCTGGATTGGGAAACACAGAGATAAGAAGCTTAGAAACAAAACCTTATTTATCCAAGTCCCTTGGGCACTATTTTCGATTCACACTGAGGTCATCAGCATGACCCGCGGGTTTCAGAAACACGGGCAGGGAAGTTCAGAAGGACCGTGGGAAAAGCGGAGCAGCGGGTGATGTGAGCGCACCCACACTCCTCGCTGTTTGAGGCCGGGCGGAGGGCACTTAGAAAATACGTAAGAGACGCAACCTCCTTTGCAGGTGGGGTAGGTTAAAAAAAAAGACCGCAAAAATTGAAGTTTTTCAAAGTCTCTTCTTCTTCCAGAATTCTAAAAGTGTCTGTAGAATGCTCGTGGTGGGATGGACAGATTGTTAGCTCCTTCTAAGGAGAGCCCCAGGACCATCTTTTAGTTCTGTCACAAGAAGCCATGAGAAGGACTGGCGAGTCCAGAAGAGAGCAGGTGACTACAGTACATATTTCCCTTGGCCCTTACCGTCACGGGGTTTGGGCTGTGACGCCGCACGTGTTCCAGAAGGGAGGGAAGAATCCCAACAAAACAACAGCCCTCGTGTGTAAGAAGTCATGAATCATAAATGAAAGAAGCCACCTTCCACAAAAAACAGGAGGGGAGTTGTGTGAATTTGCTCACGTCAGAAGCCCCAGTAAGGCTCCCAAGGCCCTTTTATTAGGGAAGGTGGTCGTCAGAGCACAGGACTTCTTCACTCAGGAGCAACAATAATCCGAGGGGCTCTAAAGACCAAGGGGGAAAGAGAAAAACCAAATAGATACAACGTTTTGTACACATTGGAGATTAAAGAATTTATAAAACGGTCACCTCTGCCAGCATAAATGCAGACTGCATTCTGAATGCACCTCCAGGTTTCTGTGGTTTAAGTTTCTTTGTTTTGCTTTCCAATAATAAATAAATAAAGTTTGTTCTTAAGCCTGGGCCCCAGCAGGCCTCTGACCACTACGGGTTCTTCTTGCCTGGGTCACTCCTGCGGGCAGCCACGCTCGGTTGCAGAGGCCCGGCGAGCTTCATTGGCCCGTCACGGTAGGCGCTGTCTTTCCGAGGTGGCATCCGCTCATTAATTCGGTCCAGACCTTGGGCTTCTTCAAAACTCCGGATCTTGTGTTGCAGTGAAAACCCTCTGATGGCTACAGAGAAACAGGAAAGGAGGGAGGGGACTTCAATTAGAATTAGGGGCCAAACTGACAAACATCTAGAAGTTTCTTTTTTTTTTCATCTAGAAGTTTCTTAGCGCACAATAGCTTCCTAGAGAAGCGCACAGAAGGGTGGCCACGGAGCACGTGTCTGGTGAGGCTGAGAGGCTACCTTTGATTGAATAGGCGTTGTCGGAAGCTACTGTTTTGTTAGAGCCCAAAGCAATTCCAAACGTGAAAGGAATTTCCAGGAAAGCTCACTAGGTTAGTCTTGGCAGAAAACTGACAAGTTCTTACTTAGTAGTTCCATACATTTTAGAAAGTTGGTTTTTTTGGTATTTTTTTACTGGCCAGAAACGTGCTCAAAGCTAGAAAGGAGGGGGTGGGGTGACACTAGAATAATAAAACAAGTTAAATACAGAGTACTTACTTTAGGCACAAACACCACATTAATTACAAAAGTAACAAAAAGGCTGTTCAAAAGGACAGTTATTATTATTTTTATCTTGCACACCAGGAGCTGAACATAAGTCAAAAGCCATGAAAGAGCTTCTAGGAGTTTGCCTACTGATTCCATTTTTGTAGAGTCGGGGAAAGGAATTAATAGTTGGAACCACCTTATCTAATAAGACCATTATGTACATTCGTAACATAGGATCTCATCCATTTCAATAGTTGTCATCCATAAATTCAGATAAGCTGTTACGAAAGCAGGCATCCATAGAAATAAGGTAATTTCCTGTCACAGCCTTACGGCATCCTCAGAAATCAATCACGCTAGCTTTCTGGCTCCCTGGGTCTTCTCTGGACATCCTCCGCCCTCCAGAATCATTAGCTAGAAGCTGGCAGGTCCGCATCTCCCGTAATCCAGGAAGGGAGCATGGAAGGGATTTCCAATGAATGGAAGGGATTCCCTCACCTCCTGGTGACCAGGTGCTTTAGCGTCAGCCAGCGAGCCCAGGGAGGACCGGAGCCAGCACACAGAGGGAAGACTTGCTTTGTGCGCTTGCCTAGAAACATCTCTGCCTTTTCTCAGTTACAGTTCTGGTAGTGCAATCAGCAAAGGGGTCACACTGTGGGAGAGCTCAGAAGACCAGGAGACAGACACAGGGTCACACCGATCAGAGGAGTATGGCCATACCTTCCTGGGCCTCTACCGCTTCTACTGTGGCTGTAAGAGGGCAGGAGCAGTGGCATGCAAAAAGGAAGACAGACAGAGTGAGTAAACCACCAGCCCGCTGCCGGCACAGACCTCCCGGCTGCCTTTGCCCGTCCCCACCCCCCTCCTAAACCCGCTGGTTACAGAAGCGAGAGGAAAAAGCAAGAAACTGAGTTGGGGGTGGAGCAGGAGGCGGGGGAGAGTGCCTAATATGTCTAACATTTTAGGTGGCATGGGAGCCTTGCAGCTAATTGTAGCTACAGCTAAGCCACGAGTTATGTTGCTTTCCTATTTTAAATGTCTTGATATCCCCATATAAAAATAACATCAAATCAAGTCATTGAAGATCACCGGCGCTCCTTGGTTTACAGTAGCTCAGATGCGATTATGAGTACCATTTAAAAAACAAAACAAACATCTAAAAAATGGGTTGTAAGTAAGAAGGATATATCTGACAAAGGCATAAGAAAAGCAGATCAAACCCACTGTCACTGAGTCCAGACTCACAGTGAGCAAACTTAGAGGGCAGTGCAGAACTGCCCCAGACAGTTCTTTATGGAAGCAGACTGCCACCTTATTTTTTCCAGAGCGGCTGCTGCAACCTTGATTTGTAATCTTTCTCCTGTGGAGCAGCTGAGGAGTTTGAACTGTCAACCTTTCAGTTAGTAACAGAGGGCTTAACCACTGCACCACTGGGGCCCCTTGGTTTTTCAGTTCCAGATGTAAATCCATGTACCATTTGGGATTAGAGATAAAGCAGAGGCTGACATTTCCAATCCATATGCGATAGAACAGAGTAATTATTAAGGAGGCCCTCTTCTCTGAGTGAAGAAAAGGAGGCAATTTAAATAGGAGCCCTGAATGATGCAGATGGCACCCGGTGATAAGAAAAAATAGTGGTTGGTGGTGGGGGGGAGGGGTTGTGGTTCTTAAAAACTTGTCTTAAAACAAGCAGCCATTTAAGTGAGATGTCAGCTAAGTCCACATGGAAGGAGCCCACCAGACTGTGTGATCCAAGGATTGTAAATAACAAAATCCAAGATCAGAGAAGAGAACTGCATTAGAGCTTACATTCTGAGCACCTCGTTTGCAGATGGCTATAGACGACAGTGAAAGCCCCAAATCCATTTGTACAGTTCCCACTAGGTTTAAGCCTCCATTGACTTCCCTTGGATCACTGACCAGGGCTGTGAATTGCCATGCCAGAGGCAAAGTGTATCACAGTGAGTTACGCAGCTATAGTTAAGTTAAAGTTAAGCATCTTATCATTTGTTTCCCTTTTGACTCATTTTTAATTTGTTCTAGTTTTTATCATTTTTGCTTTCTTTTGATTGAGGTGGGTTTGTTTTTTGCTGCTGCTGCTGTGGTTGTTTTTTGTTTTTTGTTTTGGAGGGGGGATGGTGAAATAAGGAGGTAGTGAGTACAAAAATGGAGAAAATTGCTCTAAAATTGATTGTGGTCATGATTACACAATTCTTTTTCATTTGCTTAAACCATTGGATTTTTTTGTGAATTGTATTCCAATAGAACTTTAAAAATAAAATAAAATGAGAGCTGAAAAAGGGAGCAATGACAGGGAAAATTTCCTTGTACAGTATCGTGTTTTTCAGACAGTCAATATATGAAAAGTTACAGGTTGCAGCAAGAAAGATCCCTTAGGAGAACCCTGTCAGTTCCTGCAATAAGAATTTTTGAAAAGGCGGCAGAGGAGAAGCGTGAACAGTAACAGTTGGCTTTATCTATCAGTCTCAGAGGAGAAATAGGAAGAATCGGAATGCTGGCTTCCTAACACAGTGTGGAAAATGAATACCCGGCACTAACCTATCCAATGCTTCCATTGCCAAGCACACGTAAGCACGTAGTAAAGGCTGCCCCACCCTCTCCAATCTCCTCAAATGGAAAACCAGTTAACAAGAAAACCACAGTGCTCCCCCCGGCACATCACCGATGTGACTGTTAGGAAGTGGGAGGACGACGCATTGCCTGAAATGGTGTCAGTGTGATGAGAGTTCAAAAGGCAGGTGGTAAGATGTGTACTGGTGTTACAGTTTGGGGCCCTGCTAGAATTGCTTTTTACAATGGGGTGCTATGCACGAAGCCAGCCTGTACCGAGGGGCACTGAGTAACTGATCAGGTTCCCCCCCTCTTTTTTAGCATGTTTTTTGTTTGTAGCTGTTTAACATCTTTTCTGAGGTGTAAGTCACAAACCTTACCATCCCGCTGTTTAAAGTGTGCAATCAACGGGGTGTTCAGAGACTTGTTTGCAGCACTTTCTACCATTCAAAAAGAAGCCCCCGGGGGCAGGGGAAGAAAATGTTCTAAAACTGATATGTGGTAATGATTGTACTCTTCTTGTTATGATTAAACTATTGAATTGTGGACTTAATGGCAATAAAACTGCTAAAAAACTTTCCATCTCCCTCGCTGCTGTCCTCTCTCACTCAGCCCCACTCAGCCACCAAGCTACCCTGCCTCTGGAGCGGTCCATTCTGCACACGCTGCAGCTACAGAGAAGCATACAAGAGATGGCCCTTTCCGTCACTGGGCACATTCTCAAAGGTCATTCCTGTTGAAGGATGTGTCAGTACTTCATTTGTTTTATGGCTGAATGACATGTCCCGGTACAGATCCACCTCATCTTGTTTCTCCATCATCTGCTGATGGGCGTCTGGGTTCTTTCTTCTTAGCCAGTACAAAGAACGCTGCTATGAACATCTGCAAACAAAAACTGGTGGACATGCCTTCATTTTCCTCGGGGATGTAGCTGTCGGGTCATATGTAACGCTAATATTTTGAGAAATCACTAGATTGTTTTCCAAAGTGGCTGCACCATTTAACTTAACCATTTTTTTACACATCCTTGCCAACACTTGTTACTGTCTTAAATAAAATTATGTAACTATCACAGATGGTTATAAAAATATAAAAAATTATTATAACCATCTGTGATAGTTACATAATTTTATGTCAACTTGAAGATATATAAAAGTGTAGGGGTAAATGAGGCGCTGATACCAAGGGCCCAAGTAGAAAGAACATGTTTTGAAAATGTTGATGGCAACATATATACAAATGTGCTTGACATAATGGATGTATGGATGTATGGCGATAAGAGCTGTATGAACTCCAATAAAATTATTTAAAAGAACAACAACAACAAAAAGTACAGGAGTGGTATCCAACCTGTCAGTCAGAGCACAGCTTCATGGTGCCTCCTTAAAGGCAGGCCTCCTCATACGGAGGGCCTCAGGAACCTCCCTCCCTCCCTCTGCTACTGATCCTGAGGTGCTGGAACCTTGCCACATTTCCACTGGCTTGGATCCATGGGACTTTGCACCCACCAAACTATGATCTTCCTGCCTTCTGTATCATTGCACGTGGCTGCATGAGTCTAAAGAGGAATTATGGACTAGTATTTGACTTAATGAGTTGAGTTGGGCTGGGCTGGGATACTGTCTTGATATATAATTACTTCTTGACATCCTGGATTTGTTTCTCTAGTCAACCTGGCCTAACTATTCTAGTGGGTGTGAAATGGTATCTCAATGCGGTTTTGATTTGCACTTCCCGAATGACTAACGGTGGGAGAAAGATGCGGTAGTACGCTATCTGCTTCCATGAGAAACCCCATCTGGCCTATAGGGCCACGGCGAGTTGAAATGGGCTCCGTGGCAGGTTTGACAGCTCCTGAGACTGTCCCTCAGTGCCATAAACAGTTAAACCCTGCTCGACTACCTGAAAGGTTCATGGTTTGAACTCACTGAGAGGTACTCAGAAGCCCAGCCTGGCAATTTGCTTCCAACCGGACACACACCCTAGGGAACAGTTCTAGTGGGCGGTGACTCGGCAGCAACTAACAACACAGACTACTGATGTTTATGCCACTGGTGTGTCTTCTCCGAAAAAATGTCTATTCAAATCCTTCATCTTTGCTGTAATTGGGCTACTTCTCTTTTTATTCTTGAACTGTAAACATTCTTTATTCCAGGTACTAGTCCCTGTCAGGTAATTGACTTGCATAGATTTTCTCCCATTATATGTGTAGTCTTCTGTTTCTGGTTGTGTGTGTGTGTGTGTGTGTGTGTGTGTGTGTGTCTTTTCACTTTCTTGATGGTACCATCTGTAGCACAAAAATGTTTTCTTTTGACACAGTCCAATTTATAAGTGAACCGCTTTGATCCTATCATCTGCACACTTTGTTCTGGTCTTGGCTTTCCTGTTATTTTGGCGACTAGGAAGCTTGGCTTCCTATTGGTGACTACTGGCATTGCCTTCCTTTGTGTCCCAATTTCTAATCACATTTATTTTATCTAATACTATGTTGTGTGTATCCTTTATCTCACTCAACTCCTCCCGGGAATTAGGCCATACAGACAGTGTTGGTTCAAAGTTCTTTGAACAAAGTTGCATGAACAAGAAAAGCTTTTTCAGTGAGTGCTGCAGTCTGTCCAGGACCTGGCAGTACTGAGGCTCTGATAGGAAAGGAAGAGACAGTTTCTGTCCATCAATCAGAGAAGATAAGAGGCTCGAAAAAGTTAGCCCAAGTCTTTGCTTTGTTCTTTTCACACAATCGGAAGATGTCTATCAGTTTCTTTAAGTATCATTAGACATTACTGTATGTGTTATAACATTCATACGCAAGTCAGGAATAATGAAAAACTGGATACATTAGAGACTATAAACACAAGGCTGGTCAAGAATGAAAAGCAAGCCAATTCCCAAATAACACATCTATAAAATTCTCTTGGTTACTTATCCCACATTTGCAAATCTGTAGATTTGCAATTTCAAGGTCTAGAAAACTAGTTTTACTTTAAAACAACTATTTTGTGGCTCAACAAATTTCCAACACTTTTCAAGTAGGGCAGTCCCCACCCGACCTCCGTGTGCATAGATGACTTCCTAGTACTCTGTGCGAACTTGGACACTCTTGGTGGCGTTTGTACACACTGCTCAGAAAATTCTTTTAGGTAGCAAGGTATTTTACGTACTAAAAACTGCACAGTGCAGAGAACTGACTCAATCGGAAATAGCTTACTGTTCCTTTCTATGCAATCAAGAGATTAAGAGAGTAAATGTTATACTTCTAAAACGAAAATGTTCCCTCTCCCTTCTAACTAGCTAAACTCCAACATTCCAGTATTCAATTTTTGAAGAAAAGCAGGAGTTCAATCCGATAAAAAGGAAAACATGAGCTTTTTCCTATTGGTCACTTGCAATGAAGTTTCTCACAGAAAGCAAAGCATTCCTGTAAATGTCAGTATGACATGGGAAAAACACAAAATTCCTAATAGGAACAATTCAATAAAACAAGGGGACAAACCACGGTGAAACATTAAGTTTTAGGATGTTACTGCTCCACCTCCAAGAGCCAGTCATGCCGTGCTATGACCTGCCGTCTCCTCTCCTCGTTTGACCGGGATGATGTTTATTCCGTCAAATAGCAGTATTTCTGTCCCAGGGACCCTACAAGCTTCTCCCTTTAGCACTGTAGAATGGACACGCTGGTTGAGGGTGACTGAGACTCTGGAACAGAATATGGCCACAGTCGATCGCCTCCAATCAAAAGCTCCAACAACATGTCGAAAGTAGAGTTCAAAACATAAACAAGGCATGGAATGGATACCTATATGACCTTTACAAGGTGATACATTTTTATAGAGAGATATCCTTGTAACTGTGATCCAGATGAAGATCTAGAACATTCCCAGCACCTCAGAAATCCCTTATGCCCTGCTTCATCAAGTCAGTCCCCAGAGGATCCACGGCCCGGCTTGTACACCATCTAGGAGTTGGCCTATTCGTGAACGCCGCATAAATTACACAGCTCTTTTGCATCTGCCTAAACTTTAGGGTTCACCATCGTGGGTGAGATTCATCTATGTTGCTGCAACACAACGGATCTGTTTTCCTATTTCTAGTCTTCTGGCTTTTCCAATTTGAGGCTACCGTGAACGTTCGTAGACAGATCCTTCGGTGGACATGTGTACTAATTTCTCTCCTATGTGTCGAGTGTGGAGTTGTTGACTCACAGAGCTGGTGTGTTCAGCTTTCTTGCTCGAGCGCTTTGCGACGTCCATCCACGGTGTAGGGCAGTTCCACTTTCCCACGTCTTCCCCAACCCTAGGTACTGCCAGATTGAAATTGTATCCACTGTCACTCGAAAGTCTGTATTTCAAGAAAGATGAGGCTTTCTGCTCCGGTACAGATTTAGTGTTGGAAACCCACAGAGGCCATTCTTCTCTGCCCCAGAGGGCCGCTGGCCGGCATGGACTTGGGGGCAGTGAGCCTGCGTTTCTGACCGGCTGTGCAGTGTCATCTCACTGTGTTCAATGCCACTGCTCAGTGCGTCTCTACACGAAGTACCGTTTCATATGCTCACTGGCTACTTTGACTTTTTAAAACCTGTGGTCTGTCTTTTCTCACTGAGTTGTAGGTATTCTTGATGTACACGAATACAGGTTCGTGTGTACTATAAAAAGCATCCCCTAGTTTGTGGCTTGTCTTTTCCCTCTCTTGCTTGTCTATTTTTATGAACAGAAGTTCTTAGTTGTAATCAAGTCCAATTTGTTTATTTTTTGGTCTTTTATGTTTAAGCTATAATACATTTGCATTCATTTTTCTGACTAGAGCGAAAAGCCAGGATTCTTTCCCCCACTGTGGCTACCCACTGATCCAGTGTCAGTGACTGACTGTGAGGGAATACAGTGTTCTGTAGGGAGGTTTCTCACCCTCACCTGTCTGAATCGTCTGCTTCCCTCCGGAGAGGACGCCCAGAGGGAGTATACCTGTAGGAGTCAGACCCTTGAGGGTCAGCACACTCTCACGCTCTTCCCTGCAAAGGAAGAGCAAATCCCTGGTCAATGTCAGGCAGCCCACCACTCGGCAAGACCAAAAGGTACACAGAGGCACTGCAGGACAAACCCACAGCCATGGAAGGTTTTCCTCTCCCCAACCCTCGACCCCCCCTTCCCCGACTCAAAGAACGGGAGGGCTCTGTGAAAATCCTATTTCAAGCAAACAGCCAGTCCTCGCTTTTCAGTAAAAAGCCTGTAATAGCCAGGTATTTTTCTCCTGTTTCCCACATATCATCCCAATTAATCCTCCTGAAAGGTGGAGGTGAATCCTATTATGATCTCTAATTTACAGACGAGGAAACTGAGGCAGAGAGAAAAGGCAGCAGAGCCAGGATGTGAACACAGGCAGCGTGAGCCGACTCAAAATCTACACTCCCCCTCTACACTCACGACTCAACCCTCGGACCCAACGAAGGGTTGCCATGCCTGCTGAGTCCCGTTGCCGTGCAGGGCGGCTCGGTCTGCACCGGGCGTGGACACTAGCAGTGCCAATGCCAAACTCCACTTAAACCAGAAAACTTCTGAACTCACCTTGAAGGCTTTTCCCTTACCTGAGGATTGAGAAGACCCGTGCCATCTTCCCAATGGCTCTGATTTTATTCTTGATGACCTCCTTGCGAACGGTAGTGCCTCCTGATGGAAGACAAGGAGTGAATGAGGTAAAGGACAGTGTTCATAGTTGTTTTTTAACATCGCAGGGTGAAACAGCTTTCTTACTCGTTAAAGAAAATGTCATTTTTTAAAAAGCCAAGGCTTATGTTTGTTGAACTAAAGTTCCCAGGGATTTTGCAGAGACAAAGGAAGAATTGTGAAATGAGAAAAAGATGCAGTCAAAAACGGAGAGGCCAGAAAAATGCAGGGCAGCACATTTCTCGGAGGTGGGCCTTCTTGGGGTTCTGACTTGCGGAGCACAGCGGCACATAGGGTGTGCGCCCTCCCTCTGAGAAACCGCGTGCAGGGCACAGATCTCTCTGGAGAAGCGGATGGTCCCCCAAGAGGCAGAGACCTCGGCTTTCTTCTGCATGTGAGCTCGGGGTACAGCTAGCTCCCCTGAACGTAGTGAGGCTGCTTTCATCCTTACTCACTCACTCACTCACCAGTGAGCCGTTTCTAGGGTACAAAATTGAGCACAGAAACGTTTTGCCACCCAGCCAATTCCGACTCAGAGCGACCCTGTATGGGAGGGTGGATGTGCCCACAGGGTGTCGAGGGCTGTCATCTTTATAGAAGCAGTGCTGCCACTTCGTTCTCCTTTGGGTGAGCTCACGGGGGTGGGGGGGGTGGGATGTCCCCAAGGCAAGACGGTCCAGTTAGCAACCAGGTGCTTAAAACCACCGTGCCACCAGCATTCCCTACTTTCTTCTACTGGTAGTAGGAATTGCGAGGATGAGAAAAGTATTTTATGAAGTGACATCAAAAAAGTTAGCTCAAGACTTTGTGACCTTTCTCATTGAAGATTCAAGAAATAGTCTACACCTGAGAAGCCAAGAACCAGGCAGGCGCCAGGTGATGGCACTTGAAAGTCAGAAACAGAATCCCAGGCTCTCCTGTTCAGTCAGCAGGCTTTGAGCAAATACTGGTTCAAAGAGAAGGCAATTATTCAACTCCAAACTACAGGGGGTCTCCCCGACAGACTGGTGGGACAAGCCATTAGGGTCAGCTCTGACAGCCTCTGGGAGCCCTGCAGGGGCTGCAAGGTCGGAAAGACAGGGCTTTCTACTCCTGAATGACTCGTCTCAGAAACTCACAGGGGCAGTTCTGCTCTGTCCTACAAGGTCCCTGTGAGCGGGCATGGACTTGGTGGCAGTGGGTTTTTTGTTTCCTGACAGCTGGCCAATGCCGTGATCTCCAGGGAGAAGAGACACACACCAAGAAACAAGATGGAATAGACACGTGAGGGGAAAGGCAGGCTCATATGGAAGGCAGAGGGAGAAATCAAAATGAAATGCAGTGAGGCTGTTACTGTTAGCAGCTTCTCTGAGGCGCCCTGGGTATCGTGATGGAATACGAAGTTGTAAAGTTATTTTCTTAAAAAAAACCGTTTTTTGTTAAATTTCTTTTGTCAGTACTTTCCGTGATGGCTTAAAAGTTTGTAATGTTACATGAATTAGCATTTATTATTCTCCAACATTTTCTATCTCAAATGGAAATAAAACCAGGCAAAGAAAAAGATATTTGTGCAGTGAATGGTGTTGAAAACAAGGGAAAAATCAAAGTGGCGATGAGCAGCTTACAAATCTTAAGGCTGTGATGCAACAATTCAGAGCGCGCTCAGCAAAGTGAATGGGAGCAGCGAGCCTGAATTCAGATAAAAAAGAAGAGCCGAAACGTAAGGATGCACACTTCATGCTTCCTGTCACATCCAGTTTGTAAGTGACGAAGAACCATGCGAATCAGGCCCTGGTTAGGCTCTGCGGTGCACCAGCCAGCGTGCCCTTCTGTGCTGTGGTTACGGGGGGCATGTGCAGGGGTCGCCGTGCACTGTCATTTCTCTGCATCTGGCAGAAGAACCCCACACGCGTTCGAGGGGCACTGAGCTCTTCGTTTCGCCTTTCCAGACAGGAGAGTGCGTTTTCATCGTAGCAGAGAATTCCTTTCTAATTTCTCCCAATCCATTCTAGTCAACCTTCCAAGAGGCTGCTGAGCCTCACTGTCGTTTTGAGGAGATTGAGGTGCCCTTCTCAGGGACCATGGCCCTCCTCGGTGTGTAACTGTCACAGTTAAGCACAGGGAAGCCTACTTTTCATCTGAAAAGCCCCCCCAAGGCCAATGAAATTACCCTTAAATCATGAAAACAAAAAGTGGTCTGTCAGCCCAGTCCTTTCCTCTCTCTACTCTTCTAAGGGACCACCCAGAACAAACAACTGTTTAAGAAACAAATCAGTTGTTTTCTTCAGTCAAAATATTTTAAAATTTAAAACAAAAGATCATGCTATACATATTGCTAGATAGTTTTTCATTGACTGTTCATTTCAAATCTTTTCAAACTTACAGAAAAGTTAATAAGACAAATAATTCCTATTACTCTTCATGCAGAGTTCACCTATTAACACACTGCCCCATCTGCTCTGTCAACTGATCTCTCTCTATTATTCTTGGGCACCCTGTCCTCAGGTTAAAAAAAATCATACAGTACTACTGGAAGTTTTGGAAACAATTTTCCCTGCAACACCTTGCCTCTTGAGGTTAGTGTCGTCAAATCTGGACTTGCTTTCTTTTATGTTGGTGCACAGTGGTTAGTTATGCTGTTGGGCTGCTGACCCAAGGTTAGCAGTTTGAAACCACCAGCTGCTCCTCCAGAGAAAGACGAGGGTTTCTACTCCCGTCGAGCGTTACCGTCTGGGAAACGCAGAGGGGCCGCACTCTGTCCAGTCACGAGTTTGATTTCTCTATGTGGTGCGTGTCTCTTACAGGCCTACGTTCACCATCCACGCGGGAGCCCCCCCTTCTTTGCTGTGCTAGATCTCTTTCGTACTTTCTCTGATTTGTGGGAAAAACATTTTCCAATGGCCTTTTGAGAACAGGTACGCAGGAGGTATATTTTTTGAGATCTTGCCAGTCTCAATAGGGCTCTAGTCATTTGACTGGACATTGTTTTTTCTCCAGCCCTTTGTGAATGTAACTGGTCCTCTGCTCTGCTCACTTCATAATGCTTTGTCCCTTCTATTCTGTTCGGCCGAAGGGAGGCTTATTTTCACCTAGCTGGTGGGCCCTTCCTCTCTCTTGATTTTAAAGGACTTCTCCCTTAATTCTGGGAATTTTTCTGAAAAGATCTCATAGATCATCCCCCCACCCCCACCCTCACCCCCACCCCCACCCTCACCCCCACCCCCCGCCCATTTTCTCCCTTCTCTCTTTCTACAACATCTCCTGTTCAGAGAGTGGACCTCCTGGATGGATCCTCTATTTTATTCTTTTAGTTTCCATCTCTCTCCTACTTTTGGGAACTGCCACTCATTGTATCTTCTAAAAGCCCATGGGGCTTTCTCCTTTCTGCAATCAAGTTTTTCATTTTCATGAGCTTTCTGACTAATCCTTTTAAAATAGCATAATGCTTTTGTTTAATGGATTCTCTATCTTCTATTGTCATTCGTTGGGCTGTGATCCACAAGGTCAGCAGTTTGAACCCACCAGCCGCTCCGGGGGAGAGCAGCAGCTTCTACTCCTGTAAAGACACAGCCTTGGAAGCCCACGGAGGCACCTGGTTGGTTGGTTGGTTTGTTGGTGTGTTTTTGGTGTGCCGGAGGGTATCTGAGTATATCACAGTTGTTCCTCGTTTAAGTTTTATAATTCTTCAGAATCTCCATTTCATGTAAGTGTGCTTTGCTCTGTTTTTGCTGTTGTTTTTCTTATGAGACTTTTCTCAAGCATCTGATAAGCCTTGGTGTTTGCTTGCGATTAAGAATGAAGAACTCCCAGGGAATGCCAAGGGTGGATTTTGGGGCCAGGGCATGGTGCCCCAACAGACTGGACTGGAAAACACTGAAATGGCCAACAAACAGTTCTTGAACTAACTACAAGCTTTTCTTTCTTGCTGTGTGTTTGTTTTTTGTCATTGGTTTGTTTTTGTTGCTGTTTTGTTTAATATTGTTGCTCGGTTTTGCTCTGTCTTGTTTTTGTGCATGTTATTATCTCCGCAGGTCTGTCTAAATAAGATAGGCTGGATTAACAATCTGGAGGAGAAAACAACGGGACCAACAGTTCCGGGGGCACATGGGAAAGGGGGAGGTAGGGGGAAAGGTAGTGGTGTTAACAAACCCAGGGACAAGGGAACAACAAGTGATCCAAATCAGCGTTGAGGAGGGTGTAGAAGGCCTGGTAGGGCATGATCAAGGGCAAGGTAACCAAGAGGAATTACTGAAACCCAAATGAAGATAGAGCATGATAGTGGGACAAGAGGAAAGTCAAAGGAAATAGAGGAAA